ATGAAAGGTCCAAAGTACAATAGTCTCAGTTTGGTCCTTTTCTCACAAAGTTTCAAGTTATAGCTTTTAAGTGGTATCAGAATGTCATGACTGTCCAGTGAGAAAGAGACCTTTGTCTTGAGACCCCCTCTATTTTGTATGAGAGAGGTCTCAAGATGGGAACTGAAGCAGGAAGGATGACAACTAGAGTGTATATGGTGTAAAACTTGACTTTTATGCAACAAGACACAATATAGAGGGGACCTTTGCTCTTATAAGATGGCAATACGTGCAGCGAAGAAAGCTTTCTTCTCTGCACTCATTGTGTTTGTCAATTCACATCCAGCTGAGCTGTTCAGAGTAGTGAGAGGCTTAACTCAGGTGCCCTCCCCTCTGAACCCCTTGCTAGAACCTTCGGTAGCTTACAGTGATGCCTTTAATAACCATGTCACAAATAAACTCCCTTGCATAAGAACTTACTTGGATGAAATCAACAACAATGCGTCCAGAAGTCAACAACAATGCGTCCAGCAACTCTGTGAGTGGGATTACACTGGATCCGTTTCAATTAGTGAGTACTGTTGGTGTGGACAAATTGCTGGGACAAGTATGGAGGAGAACCTGCTTTCTGATACCTGTCCCTCTTGGCTGGTTGTTCAGGGAAGAGATACAATTATGCAGTGGTTACCTAGGATTGCAGATAAGAGGATCTGTGCCTGGTGAACGTATGCTAAACCTAAAGGGCCAGGACAGAAAAACAACTCACCTGGTTGAAGACAAGCCATAGAGGTTTAATACAATTCAGCCAAAAGGGAAGGAAGTACAAGCAAGATGTTACAAAAGATACACGCATTGTTCCGTCTCCCAGGAGACTGGGTTTATTGTCTTTTTGGGTTGCTTAAATTGGTTGCCCCTTGCCTTTCGCCTAGGCCTCTGCAGCCTCTGCAAAGGCCTAAAAAGTTAGCAGCCAGAGGCAGGAAAGCCAGTTTTCAGGCCCTCTGCAATAATTGGCCAAAGAGTAGCTCTTTGGGCCCGCCCCTGTTTCCAGGATAGAAGCAGCCATGTTGGAGGTCTCCCTGCCCCTTCAGTTTTAGAAAGAATCCATGATGTGCTGTTGGCAGACAAGGTACCTCAGAAAATATCATTGTAAAAACAATTGAGTTTAATTTAGTTATAGATAGATTTATTGAGTAATTTAGTATAATAGATTAATTTAGTTTAATTGAGACCTATAGATAGATAGATAGATAGATAGATAGATAGATAGATAGATATAGATAGAGTAATTTAGTTTAACTGAATATAGATAGAGTTTATTAATATAGATGCAATTTATTATTCATTGATTGTTTGGTAACATTAATAAGCTGAGCCAAGTCTACAAGGACTTTGTTAATAAATACCCTGTTTAATGTTTAATCTTGAAGTGGTCTCAGTTATTCAAGAAAGCTCAATCTTCTAAAGAAAGACCCCAGCAGTTTCGCCCAGACATAGATAGCAGCACATCAGAGTTTGTTTTATAAAGCGTCTGGGCGTAACGGCACACGCATAACCATACAGGGAAATACAAGACATTATATACAGTTGTGACAGCTATTCAGACTTCCCGCTCCCTCTCCTGATTGGCTGAAAAAAGGGCAGGCTAGGATTCATGCTGGGATTGGCTGGGAGAGAGAAGAGTAGCCAATGTTTTTTCAGAGTGAAGGACCAATCAGCTGAAGAGACGCCCCCTGGGATGAGCTTTTGATTGGCTCAAATGTGCAGTTCCATGCCAAAGATATGGATCTTAGGAAACAAAGGTGCAAGACTCAAGGGACAAAGTTACTGATCTTGGGTAATCAAGGGCTTGCCTGCCAATAAAAGAGTTAATGAATGCACATACTCTTAAGATTCTATTTCCATGAAGGAGCAGCAGGCTTCCAGCTTCATATGATTATTACCAACATTATGGGCTTATCAAACTGGCAAAAAGGTCACCTGTCTTTGCATACACACAATAAATCTGATGATTATCTGGCTTGGGAAATAGCCAGAGGGATTTGCCCAACTTTTTCCATTCCCAAAGGATTATCTGAACAGGGTCACAGAGGGGTGCATGTTTCTAAGTTACATTTCAATACATTTCTCTTTTTTAAATATATTTCTATTAGTTAAGAACATAGAATTCTGTTATTTACAGTATAAAATGTTGGATATATGGGGGAGTGAGGCGAAACGTCAGGAGACAATGCTTTTCCAGGGTTATTTAAAAGACACCAATTATCTAGATCCAGCGCAGTCTGACTATAGGCCAGGACATAGTGCTGAAACCGCCTTAGTCGCCTTAGTAAATGATCTATGCCAGGAACTGGACAGGGGGAGTGTGTCCCTGTTGGTTCTGCTGGACCTCTCAGCGGCCTTCGATACTGTTCACCATGGTATCCTTCTGGGATGCCTCACGGATAGGGGACTTGAAGGTACTGTTTTGCAGTGGCTCCGATCCTTCCCAGAAGTTCCCAGAAGTTGCTGGGAGACACCTGCTCAACTTCACAACCCTTGACTTGTGGGGTCCCGCAGGGATCAGTACCGTCCCCATGTTGTTTAACACTTACATGAAGCCGCTGGGAGAGATCATCCGGAGTTTTGGGGTCAGATGTCATCTGTACGCAGATGATGTTCAGCTCTATCACTCCTTCCCACCTGTCACTAAGGAGGCTGTTCAGGTCCTGAACCGGTGCATAGCAGCTGTAACTGTCTGCATGAGAGCGAACAAATTGAAATTGAATCCAGACAAAACAGAGGTCCTCCTGGTCAGTTGAAAGGCTGAACAGGGCATAGGGTAACAGCCTGTGCTGGAAGGGGTTACACTCCCCCTGAAGGTGCAGGCTTGGAGCTTGGGAGTGATCCTGGACTCATCGCTGAGCCTGGAACCCCAGGTCTCAGCAGTGGCCAAAGGAGCTTTTGCACAATTAAAACTTGTGTGCCAGCTGTGGCTATACCTTGGGAAGTTTGACTTGGCCACAGTGGTTCATGCTCTTGTTACATCCTGAATAGATTACTGCAACACACTCTACACGGGGCTGCCTTTGAAGACTGGAAGCTTCAACTAGTCCAGCATGCAGCAGCCAGGTTGCACACTGGAGTGGCATACAGAGAACATAAAACCCCTCTGCTACACCAGCTCCGCTGGCTGCCAGTCTGCTACCGAGCACAATTCAAAGTTCTGGTTTTAACCTTTAAAACCCTGTACGGTTCTGCCCAGATTACCTGTCCGAACGCAAGGCCCAGCAGAGAGTACTGTTGATGTGGACAACCTGCTGGGACAAGTAAGGAGGACAACCTGCTTTCTGATCCCACAGCTGAGGGGCCACCAATGAGAAGGCCCTGTCTCTCATCCCCACCAAATGCATTTGTGGTTGTATCTCCTCCCTGAACAACCAGACAAGGGATCAGAAAGCAGGTTGTCCTCCCTACTTGTCCACATCAACAGTACTTTCTGCTGGGCCTTTCTTCAGACAGGCCCTGACTGCCTGGCTGAAGCAAGGCCCAGCAGAAACACCTGCTGCCTCCAGAGGCTGGGGCATAAAAGGAAGATGCCAGTGGGGGACCAGTCACACAGCACCATCCAAGACAGCCAAAAAAGACCTTGGGACAATGGTTCTCAGCCTGTGGGTCCCCGCATGTTTTGGCTCGCAGCTCCCAGAAATCCCAGCCAATTTACCAGCTATTGGGATTTTTGGAAGTTGGGGGCTGTTGCATCTGGGGACCTACCAGTTGGGAAGCACTGCCTTAGGATCATGACTGGGGAAGGGGGAGGCCCTAGTAGGGTGCCTAAAGGATTGGTACAATGTGTTATTTGTGTATTTATTTATTTATTTATTTGGAGTGCTTCTACCCCGCCCTTCTCAACCCCCTAGGGGAGTCAGGGCGGCTTACAAAAGGCACAATTCGATGCCCAACAGTTCACAAAATACAATATACAAAATACAATATAACGACAACAGTTATAACTAGTTAAAACAATCAAATTAATACAATAGCAGCAATAAAATCACCTTGTGGTCAACGTTCGCCAGTTCATAAATCCATAATCCATCCAGCATTGTCATTGTCCTTTCCTACTCTGGTCGTCATTGTCTTTTATCCATCTGCCAGCTTACCCAAAGGCCTGGTCCCATATCCAGGTTTTTAACTTCCTTCTGAAAGAGAGGAGGGATGTTGATGACCTAATTTCCCTGGGGAGTGCATTCCACAGGCGAGGGGCCACCACCGAGAAGGCCCTGTCCCTCGTCCCCACCAGTCTCACTTGTGATAAAGGTGGGGCCGAGAGCAGGGCCTCCCCAGAAGATCTTAAACTCCGAGGTGGGACGTAGAAGGAGATACGTTCGGACAGGTACGCTGGGCCGAAGCCGTATAGGGTTTGTAGGTCAAAATAGCTCCCGGTGGTACAGCAGGTTAAACCACTGAGGTGCTGAACTTGCTGACCAAAAGGTTGCAGGTTTGAATCTGGGGAGCGGAGTGAGCTTCCGCTGTCAGCCCCAGCTTCTGCCAACCTAGCAGTTCGAAAAATGCAAATGTGAGTAGATCAATAGGTACCGCTCCGGCGGGAAGGTAACGGCGCTCCATGCAGTCATGCCGGCCACATGACCTGGGAGGTGTCTACGGACAACGCTGGCTCTTCGGCTTAGAAATGGAGATGAGCACCACACCCCAGAGTCAGACATGACTGGACTTAATGTCAGGGGACTACCTTTACCTTTACCTTACTGATTAAAGGGCATTTAATAGAATGCCAAGTCTGCAAACTTTCTGTGTGTGTGTGTTTTAAAATACAACACAACTGTTTGGTTCGCGCCTGACCCGATAAATCAATCAATAGCCTTCTCTGCTACAAAGGTCACGGCTACCGAGCCCTGAGCCTTGGCGGCTGAATGTTGCCAAGCTGCATGATCTCCGCCGTGCAGCCGCTCTGCAGGAACCCCGCCTGCCTGTGCGTGGCCCTGCCCCTGTGGGCGGCTCCGCGGCCTCCGCCTCCTGGGCCGGCCTTCCCGCGTCCCAATCCCCTCCGCCGCGCTCCCCTTCTTCCTTGGGTCCTCCCCGGGGCAGGATGGCGGCGCGAGACCCGGCCTCGGCTTGCAGCGCGGCCGCCTTCCGCCTCCGGCACTTGCACCTGGAGCTGCGCGTGGGCTTCGGGGCGCCGGGGGCCGCCGGCGGGGAGGTGCGGGGCTCGGTGCGCCTGGAGCTGACCTGCTTGGAGGAGCGGGCGGCCGAGCTGCTCCTGGACTCGCACCCCACCGTGGAGGTGCAGAGCGCCGCCTGGGCCGAGGCGGGAGAGGGCCCGGAGAGGCTCCGCCCGCTGCCCTTCCAGGACCACCGGCCCTTCGCCAGCTACGGCTCCGCCCTCCGCCTCGCCTTCCCCGAGCCCCTGGCCGCAGGGGACAAGCTCGTGGTGGAGGTCGCCTTCCGCGGCGGAGCCGGGCCCGGGGTGAGTGGGATCGGCGTCACGGATCTGCCCCCTTTCAGCCTAAGCACTTCCTCCGCCTCCACGCAGCGACTTCTCCCTGCGAAATGCGTGGGCGGCACAGCGGTTGGAATAGCTGACTCTGCACGTGCTCAGAAGTGCAACCCACCCTCCTTGAGTGCGCCTCCCTGCCGCCTTTGGTGTCTGTCCAGGGAGAAGGACCCATCATTAGTGGCCGCTTGTGGTGTCCAGCGGGAAGGCGCTCAGGGATGCAGCACGCCTTGCTTCTTGCCACTTGGCTTGTTCAGAAGGAAGGCAAGCTGCAGATGGGTTGCTGTGAGTTTTCCGGGCTGTATGGCCATGTTCCAGAAGCATTCTCTCCTGAGGTTTCACCCACACCTATGGCAAGCATCCTCAGAAGTTGTGAGGTCTGTTGGAAACTAGGCAAGTGAGGAGATATCTATCTATTTAAATAAAAATGTAATCTTTGTTTGTGGGATTAGCAGAACTCAAAAACCACTGGACGGATTGACACCAAATTTGGACACAATACATGCATCAGGCCAATGAGTGACCATCACTCATAAAAACACTGAAAAACACAGTGGAAGAGACTTAAAAAGCCAAAAATAAAAAAAAATACATTGCAACACATTTGCAAGACCACATATACACAAATATATAAACACATATATACACACAAAAAACACATATACACAAACTGGGCCACAGCAAGGTGTGGCAGGGGATGGCTAGTCTGTATAAATAAAAATGTAATGTTCGTTTGTGGGATCAACATAACTCAAAAACCACTGGACAAATTGACACTGGATTTGGACACAAGACACCGATCAGACCAACGAGTGACCATCACTCATAAAAACACTGAAAAACACAACGGAAGAGATTTAAAAGGCCAAAAAATAAAGAAAACATATTATAATGCATGAGCAAAGCCACACATATATACATATATACACACACAAAACACATATACACAGACTACACCACAGTAACGCGTGGCAGGGGACAGCTAGTGATCTATCTATCTGGAACTCTAGAAAAAAACTCTAGAATCAGGACAGTAAATAAATAGCAACACTCAAAAAACAGGGGAATTCCAGACAGGAAACAATCAGAGCCAGCTAACACCTCCCAACAAAGGATTTCCCAGGCAGGAAGCAGCCAGGTTTTGAAGCTGCAAGGCCATTCAATGCTAATGAAGGTGGCCAATTTCAACATTCACACATACCTCAAGCAGGCAAGAATTCTCTTTCTCCCACCCTGGATATTCTACAGATATATAAACCTTGCTTGTTTATATATCTAGTTTCAAACAGACCTCACAACCTCTGAGGATGCCTGCCATAGATGTGGGAGGAATGTCAGGAAAGAATGCTTCTGGAACATGGCATTAAAGCCTGGAAAACTTACAGCAACCCAGTGATGCTGGCCATTAAAGCCTTTGACAACAACCTATATATGCTCAGGAACTCAGCCCTTGTTGCTTGGCTGCTTCTCCCTGCCGCCTTTGGTGTCCAGAAGGAATAATAACAATAGTTTTATTTATTTATACCTCGCTTTCCTTTCTTTATCGAGATTCAAAGCCGCTTTGGTGATCAGGAGGAAAATACTGTACATGTTCAGGAGTGTAGCACTTCTTGCTTGGATGCATCTCACTGGTGTTCAGGAGGAAGACGCTCATTATTTCAGTGTTTCTCCCTACTGCCTTTGGTGTCCAGGAGAAGTAATAATAATTATAATTTATACTCCACTTTCCTCTCTTAAACTGGACACAAAGCACCTTCAGTGTTCAGGAGGATAACACTCTCAGGAATTCAGCACTCATTGCTTGAGTATTTGTTCCTGCCACCTTTGGTGTCCAAAAGGAATTATTATAATATTTATTTATATCCTACGCTCCGCTCTTAAATGAGACTCAAAGCATCTTTGGTGTTCAGGAGGAAGACACTCTGCACATGTACAGGAATGCAGCATTTGTTGCTTCAGTGCTTCTCTCACCCCCCCCCCCCTGTGTTTAGGAGGTATTATTATATCCCGCCTTCCTCTCTTAAACCAGACTCAAAACACTATTGGTGTTCAAGAGGAAAACTCTCTGTACATGATCAGGAATGCAACCCTCTTTGCTTGGGTGCTTCTCCCTGCTGCTTTTGGTGTTCAGGAGAAAGACACTCGGCACATGCTCAAGGATGCAGTCCTAATTGCTTGAGTGCTCCTATCTGCCACCATTGGTGTTTAGGAGGAAAATACTCTCCATGCTTAGAAGTGTTGCCTTTGTGGCTAGGGTGGCTTTTATTTTATTTGCTTTTGGGGAAGATTTGGTTCTCTCAGTCTGAGAGGACTCACGCCCATGAGCGTCTCTTGTTCCACTAGTGCCCTCCCTTTGTGTTGTTTGCAGCGATGCCTTGTTTCTACAAAATTTGCCCCTTTCTCATCTTTCTGAGAGGCTCTGTCAATCAAAGGCAAATGAGCTGCTGCTTTTTGGTTTTTGCCCTTGGTTCTTGGTAGCTTTGTAGTTTGATCTTCCCTTTATCTTGTGCTCAATACATTTCCTGTGATGAACTATTTCTTGCTGTAGAAGAGGAGCAGAAGCACGAGGCCTTGCTTGAACATGCTTCTTTCCACCCTTAATCAGGATCCCTGTTTCCCCAACCAATGTAGTTAATTTCCTTCCCAGAAACGAAAACCTACTGGGCAACCTTGGGCAAGTCACACTGTCAGCTCAACAGTTCAAGTAGTTCAACAGGCGGCAGTCAGATTTCTCAGTGGAGCGGGCTATAGGGAGCATACGACTCTGCTACGCAAGTTCCATTGGCTGCCAATCTACTACCAAGCACAATTCAAAGTTCTGGCTTTAGCCTATAAAGCCCTAAACAGTTCCAGCCCAGCTTACCTGTCAGAACGTATCTCCCTCTCTGAGCCATCAAAGAGGTTAAGATTGTCTGAGGCCCTGCTCTCAGTCCCGCCCCCTTCGCAAGTTCTGTCTCTCAAAGACAAGAGACGAGACCTTCTCTGTGGTGGCCCCTCAGATATGGAACTCCCTTCCTAATGATCAGCCCCTCCCTCCTGACTTTCAGGAAAAGGTTAAAGACATGGATGTGGGATCAAGTGTTCAGTTAGTAACCCACTAGAGAATTATGGAATAGTGCAAAGACAATTTTGGAACGGCCATGTACTATGATTTTGGATAACGTGATTTTAACAAGTGTTTTTAAGGTTCAGTATGTTTTTAATGTTTGTTTTAATATATATTTATTTTATTATTTATTTATATACAATATTTATAGCCCACCTTTCTCAGCCATACGGCAACTCAAGGCGGGTTACAGATTGGCACAATTCAATGTCAGGCATTCATAAAAGTACCATTAAAAACAATCAACATTACAATATAAAACATAAATAAAAACTGTTAAAGCATATAATCATCAGTGTCATCTTGTTAAAAACGTTATCCAGTAACATTGTCTGGTCATTCCATGTTCATCATTTATAGTTCCGTGATATTTATTTCACTGCATTCTCAAAAGCTTGCTCAAAGAGCTAAGTCTTTACTTTTTTTTTGGAAAGCCAGGAGGGAGGGGGCTGATCTAATATCCCTGGGGAGGGAGTTCCATAACTAGGGGGCCACCACTGAAAAGGCCTTGTCCTTCATCTCTGCCAATCGCACTTGCAATTACATATGTATCTTTTACATGGCATTGAATTTTGCCTATATATGTTAAGTCTCCTACGAGGTTGAGAAAGGCAGGTTAAATAGTAAATAAATAAGGTAAATAATAAATAATGGGAAGCCTCATCTGAATAAATCAGCTCCAGCTTCTCATGCGGAGACATGAGAGAAGCCTCCCACAGGATGGTAAAACATCCCAGCGTCCCTGGGCAATGTCCTTGCAGACAGCCAATTCTCTCACACCAGAAGCGACTTACAGTTTCTCAAGCTGCTTCTGACACAAAAAACCACAAGAAAATTATTTTACGGTTGCCATAAGTCAGATTCATCTTGAAGCACACTGTAGATTGTTGACTACCTATTCGCACAACAGCCACTATTCATGTAGGAGAATATAGCAATTGTCTGGGAAAACTGGATGTAAAAAAGAAAGCAAATAACCCCGGTATTGTTTGTGTTGTCTAAAAGATTTTTGTATGTAGTAGAGTACAGAACAATAATTATTGCTTGACTTAGAGATACCTGATTCTCTCCTGCCCATTTCTCCCAATATTCCAAGTTCCCTCCAAACCTCAAGTGGGTACAACTCCTAGATTGCCCTTTGTTTGCTTAAAATGGCCTGATAAATACCTGGTTTTGTAGCTGGCTAATGTAAATAGAAACCAAGGGAGAATCAAAGTGCCTGACAGCTTGACCATATCCCTGCTCTTATAGATATCCTGTCTGGATTCTTATCAAACCGCCCAGAAGGAGAGACCATTTCTTTACACCTCTGGCTTTCCTGTACTCAACAGATCCTTGTTCCCTGGCTTCCACACCCCAGCCGTAAAGAGTACATATTCTGCAAGCATCCAGGTAAAGTTTCCAGTCACTCATGGGAAGCTGTGTTTTATCTTTTTGTCAGGTGTGTTGGCTAACTCCCGAGCAGACAGCAGGGAAGCAGAAGCCCTATATGTACACTCAAGGCCAGGCTGTCCTGAATAGATCTTTTTTCCCTTGCTTTGACACCCCTGCAGTTAAAAGTACATACTCGGCTGTTATAAAGGTAAGCTATTTTCTGTTTGGAATGGGACAGAACAGGTCATCATATACAGTGCCCCCCCCCCCCCCGGCCTATATCTGTGGGTTTGATCTTTTGTGGATCTGATTGTCCACAGAGTTAATTAAAATGTTTTCTAGGAAAGGGTTGTTGTGAGTTTTCTGGGCTGTATCGTCATGTTCCAGAGGCATTCTCTCCTGAAGTTTCACCTACATCTATGGCAGCATCCACAGACGTTGAGAGCTCTCACAACCTCTGAGGAGGCTTGCCATAGATGCAGGCAAAACACCAGGAGAGAATGCTTCTGGAACATGTCCATACAGCCCGGAAAACTCACAACAACCCAGTGATTCCAGCCATGAAAGACTCGACAATACATTTCTTAGGAAACTCCACGTTGTCAGTGTGACTCTGTGGCCACCTTCTGCTGGAAATTGATCATAGAGTCATACTGAGGACCTAGAAATCCTCAAGATGCAAAAGTCGTTACAAGAGAATGTGAAAATAGTTGAGCTTCCTCCTATCAGGTAAGATCCACCCCTTCTCCACACTGGTTATATCTTCCTTTGCTGTTAGGTTCCTGATGGTTTCACGGCCGTGATGAGCGCGGTGACGCAAGAGAAGCAGAAGGACAACACTTTCTTCTTCAAAATGCCTCATCCCATCCCGTCCTATTTGATTGCCTTGGTTGTTGGTGATATTGTTTCTGCTAAAGTGGGACCCAGGTAAGAGGCTGCTCTGTGGATAAAGGTGAATCCCAAAATTCATTCTAAGTTCCATCCAGACTAGGCCTGGGAAAACTTCGGCCCTCCAGGTGTTTTGGACTTCAACTCCCACAATTCGTAACAGCCAGTTGGTAGGGACGAGAGAGAGGACCTTCTTGGTGGTGGCCCCCTGGCTTTGGAATGCCCTCCCGAGAAAGATTAGGCTAGCCCCCACTCTCCAATCCTTCCAAGCACAATTGAAAACATGGCTTTTTAGACAAGCCTTTGACCATGTTTAGAGATTCTTAATGAACATATTTGAGGACTTAGAGATTATTTCACCTTGCACTTTATGAGAGTGATATTGTTGCAGTTTGTTATATATCTGCAGTTATTGTTGTATTTTATTGTTTTTTAACCAATGGGGTTTTATGATGTTATGTTGTTGGTTACTGCTTTTGTGTTATTGTTTATGCACTTGTTGCATTTTGTGTGTTTGCACCTTTGAATGCTTTTGTGAGCTGCCCCGAGTCCCTTCAGGAGATGGTGGTGAGGTATAAATAAAGTTTAATAATAATAATAATAATAATAACAACAACAACAACATTTTATAAAGCAGTGTCTACTGTCACTGATGAAATGAATGACTGAACACAAATTGATGCTTAATCCAGACAAGACAGAGGTGCTACTGGGATTCAAATACTCAGTCTGTGTTAGATTCAGACTAACACAGTTCACAACTAGGACATATTCCTGGACACTGACTTGAGTGTTGATGCCCAGGTTTCAGCAATGACCAGAAGTGCATTTGTACAGCTGAAATTGGTGTACCAACTGTTTCCTGATCTTTTGAGACATTAGATATGGCTATAGTGACACCTGCCTTGATTATACCCCATTTGGATTACTGTAACACATTCTGTGTGGAGCTGCTTTTGGAAACTGTTCAGAAACTTCGGGTCCGAATTCAATCAATTCAAATGGCTGTGGCCAGGTTTCTGTGGTAGATTATATAACCTTCTTGCTAGAACAGTTTCACTGACTGCCAATCTATTTTGTGGCAGAATTTAACATGTTGTTTATCACCTTTAAGTTCCTATACCTCTTGGATTCAGATTGTTTGTAAGACTGTAAGACTTCAGATTGTTTGTAAGACTCCCTATATGAGCCTGTTTAAGCTTTAGGATCTGTTGAAGAAGGCTAAATCTGTTTTAAAAATTGTTTTTAACCTGTTTTTGAATAGAACTGTGTTTTAATTCTCTTTTAACTTTTGCATTATAATTTTTTAAACTATACTTTAAATCAATATGGGTCTATTATTATTATTATTATGTTGTTTGTTTTTCATGTCAGGAGTGACTTGAGAAACTGTAAGTGGCTACTGTTTTTAATGGTTGTAAACCAGGGGGAATATGAATCAAATAAATAAACTTAACATTGGTAAAGTTACATTATCTGTTTTTCTGCCTGGACTAGCAGTTACTATTCAATTTTGTTTTTCCCCCTTAAATATTTTGAGGCTATGTGCAAAATTGTCAGCTAAAACAAATGGCATAAGAAAGGAAACTCTCCTAATGGTTAGTTTTGACTCTCTGCATTCATATTCAGTACAGAGATGGTTTTATTGGCCACCATGCAAGTGATTCTTTACAGGCCAAGGTTAGGTAGTATGTTGATGTGCATGTTTTTTTTACCACCCTTTTTATTCGTCCGTTCATTTTGTTTTTCCTTGCTAGGAGTCACGTATGGGCTGAGCCCTGCCTGATTGAGGCTGCACGGAAAGAATATGATGGTGTGATTGAAGAGTTTCTTGCCACTGGAGAGAAGCTTTTTGGACCATATGTTTGGGAAAGGTACTTCTACTACAAAACTAGAAAGATTTCCCATTAGGGGTCCCACATGTATGCACACATGCACATTCCTACACCTTGATTTCATGTTTAGAATTATCCGTATTCTTTTCCTTAAACCATCTTTGCTGAACCAGGAGAAGCCCAGTACTCGAAGTGCAGATTATTATTATTACATGCAGAATGTAATAATAATAACAATAATAATAATAATATACATTATTTATATTCCGCTCTATCTCCCCGAGGGGACTCAGGACAGATTGCAGTACACATATACAGCAAACATTCAATGCTGTTATACAATGAACAAGGACAGACAATACATAAACAGAAGTATAGGATTCCATCTTTTTCCATCTCCGGCATCTGGAGGCTGTGCTCGACTCTGCGGCCACAGGGAGGTGCTCTCGCTCCATCTTCCATGCTGAGGAGCTTTGTTATCCGTAGACATTCTCCCGATGGAATCACCGGCATGTCCTTATGGGCACCTTTTATTACCTCCATCTTTAAAGCGGTACATGTTTATCTATTCACATTGCTGTTTTCAATCTGCTCGGTAAGCAGAAGCTGGGCTGATGGCGGGAGCTCACCCCAACCTGGGCTTGAACTGCCAACCTTTCAATCAGCAATATTTTCTACAGCTGACAGTTTAACCCGCTGTGCTAAAGCCCGGACGTAGGACCCTTCTCACATTTCACAATTATACTACTATGATTCTACAGTAATAGTCATGGCTGCATTGTTTGGAACCCTGGGCTTTGTAGTTTGCTCTCTGGCTGGGAGTTTTAAATACCCCTCTCTTAAGTGCAGTCCTAGGATTGCATAGGATTTTGTTATAGCATTTGAACTGGAATCATTGTACTATAACTATAACAGAAAAGACCCCAAATTTTGGTCATAACCCTATTTCTAAATAAAGTTTAAAAGACAGAATTAAGAAAGGTTACTTTTTGCACTCAATTCTTAAAATCATTCTAGTGTTAGTGGCGATTGTGGGAGGTCTAGCCCAAAAAGTAACTTTACCAAACTCAGGAGGTCCCAGGTTGAAATACTGATGTCTTTAGATAAAACAAGGAAACAACAAGCTGGATAAAAGTCCACTGCTATGGACTTCATTCCAGTCTGAGTAAGAAAAGTCCACTAAATTAACTGATAAGCTATCTAAGGCCATTTCCCATTAACTCTTTCTGATGATAGGATTAGAAGCGCTTTCAAACTACACAATTGCAGCATTATATACCAATTTAATTGCCGTGGCAACATCCTATGGAATCTTGTGATTTTTAATTTAGGGAGGGGATTTATAGTGCTCAGCCAGAACTCCTCTATTGGCTCACCAAATATCAAACCCAGAATTCCATAGAATGTAGTTAAAGTGAAATCATGATGCCATAATTATTTAGTGTGAAAGGGCTAAATAGGGTACACTGACAAAATGTGGGATTTACTTGGCGGCAACCAGCAGCTCAAATGCATTATGTTTCAGGTATATTCCATAACCTGAAATTATCTTAGCTTTTGTCAGGGGGCAAGGAATAAATATATTAATTATTGTAGCTGAAAGTTGAGGTGCAACCATGGCCACTCAGATGGAGTCCATTTTGGCAATTGAAATGTGATGAGGTGGTGTGAGCAATAATAGCAGGAAGTTGTCATATCTTAAAGAAACATGATGGTCATATGTGTAGATGACATGTTAGAAACAGATTTTTGAAGCAGAGGTTGACGTCTTGTTAACAGGTTTTGTTTTTGACAGGTATGATGTTCTCTTCATGCCCCCCTCATTTCCTTTTGGGGGGATGGAAAACCCCTGTATCACCTTTGTGACCCCGTGCCTCTTGGCTGGTGATCGTTCCCTGGCAGATGTCATCATCCATGAGATCTCGCACAGCTGGTTTGGGAATCTAGTCACCAATGCTCAGTGGGGGGAGTTCTGGTTGAATGAGGGCTTCACCATGTATGCACAGAGAAGGATCACCACCGAACTGTATGGTGAGTTGCCCAGAATTGCTAACCAGATAAATAGCTGTGTTGTGGTTCTTAGCAACAGGACGGTGCGACCTGCAACAAAATGCTACACTGTGGATTGCTGGTGTTGAGGACACTAACTTTGAGAGCTTGAGAAAGTTCTCCTTTCTGAAGTACTTCTGGGGGAGTCTGAGAAAGTACATTTCCCTATGGCCCCATCTCCACTGCCATATAATCCAGTTTCTGAATGCAGGTTATCTGATTTAAACTGGACTATATGGAGCCCCCAGTGGCGCAGTAGGTTAAACCCTTGTGCCAGCAGGACTGAAGACCGGCAGGTTGGAAGTTCAAATCCGGGGAGAGTGCGGATGAGCTCCCTCTTATCAGCTCCAGCTCCACATGTGGGGACATAAGAGAAGCCTCCCACAAGGATGGTAAAACATCAAAACATCCAGGCGTCCCTTGGGCAACGTCCTTGCAGACCAGAAGCAACTTTCAGTTTCTCAAGTTGCTCCTGACATGAAAAAAAGAAAGAAAATCCAGTTTAAAGTGGATAATTTCCATTCAGAAGCTGGATTATATGGTCAGTGTAGATAGGCCTGTGTGTGGTCTTTCCAGCTGTCACTAGACATAGGGGATTTCTATAATCCATTCCCAGTCACTTCCCAATTGCTTAGTCTTTTCCATAACAGACACTCATATTGTGGCTGCTGAGTATATGTAGTTCTCACAAGACAAGAACTGAGCAAAGTGCAGATGGATGTGGTTCCCCAACGTTGTATTCACTGCCTGGACACACCCCAAACCACCATTTTTCTCATAAAGAAAGCAGAAGTCCTTTTCTGGAAACCTTCAGAAACAGCAGCTTATTTTTAAACCCAGCATCCTTTCTGTTCTATTTAACATTGCAACATAGCTGTTATCAAATGTTGAAGAGACCACTTGCTGTTTCATAGTTCTCTTCATTCCCTTCTTCTGTGCCTCCTTTTACCATAGTCCATCCCATTTTGCTATTAAATGTTAGGGGAAGGAAGACTGGATTCATTGTAGATATTTTTAAGAGTTAAATGGGTAGAGAGAAGTATGGTATATTCCATTCTAAATATTTAGTTTTCTCATACATTAAACTATTTATTTTTTATTTATTTCAGGTACTTCTACCCCGCCTTTCTCAACCTCCTAAGGGGGACTCAGGGCGGCTTCCAACAGGCATAAGTTTGATGCCTACAATTCAACATAATAAAATACATAGTAACAATAATTATAAACAGTAGGCCTGGGTAACAACAGAAAAATTTGTTTCTAAAATCGATTCGTTTTTTGGGGTTTTTTGCGTTTCGATATTTAAAAGAATTCCGAAATTTTTCTTTTAAAAAGTTCGCTATTTGTTGTGGTTCAGCAACAGCATGATGGGTCTGAGAGTGCAAATGGGCCTGTGAGTGCAAATGGGCCTGATGTGGGATTTCAGAATTCTCAGTCTCAGTCAAAGTTCATAGCTGCTGAGAAGCGCTTGTTCTCACAGCCAAGGAATGTGACTGCTGATAAGGGCGGTGAAGGCCAGAGCAGCCAGCTGCAGGTGTTGAGAAGGAGCGAGAGACTTGCGGCCAAATCTTGAGGCCATCTGTCGGTGAGAAAAGTGCTTGTTAGCGATTGTTTTAATTTCATGTGTTGATGCTTTTTTCCTATAAGTATGCTGCTTGTAAGCTGACTCAGTGTCTGTTCAACTTCGCTAGAATGGATCGCTGTTCCTATGGCCCTGTGCTTGGGCTCGGGGGGAACTGCCTGATTCCTGTAACTTCATGCTAAGCCTGAAATGTATCCTGCTTCCTTGCTTCAAGATCCTGTTTGATTTATGGACTTCTATTGAACCTATATTTTGTACTTTGAACTTTTTACTGCTTTTACTTGGATTTGTTTGAATCTTCAATAAACTATTTTCTTCTCAAGTTTGGCTGGTTTGTCAGAGAGCAAGGTGAAACTATTCTGAGACGCAACAGTTTGAACAGACCACTCAACAAAGTCCTTGCTTCTCCCAGCCACCATGAATCCTGCAGATGCCCAGGCATTGCACCAGCAGCTGCAGGACCTCCAGCAGCAGATAACCACGATGCAAGCGCAAAGGGCGCCTACCCCTCCGGCTCCGCCACTAAGGACCCCTATGGCTTTGCCCAACAAGTTTTCTGGAGACAGTCAAGGGGTCAAGGACTTCTTGGGACAGTGTGATGCCTACCTCACAGTGCGGGAAGCGGAGTTTGCCAACGAGGCAGCCAAGGTGGGCTTTGCCTACAGTTTGTTGGAAGGCCCGGCTCTCTCCTGGGCCACCGCGTTACGGGAGGCCGCTTCCCCTGTGTGCAATACTATCAAGGCCTTCATGGATGAACTGCACAAAGTTTGGGGAGGCCAAGTCCACCGGGAGATGGCGGATCGTAAGCTGCGTGCCCTGGCGCAGAAGGAGGGGTGTTTGGCCCAATACATTTCGGAGTTTCGTGTATTGCAGCGGGAGCTGGCTTGGAACGATGCCGCCTACATGAGTGCTTTTAAAGCGGGGCTCACCCAGGAGATGCAGCTGGAGGTGGCCCGTTCCGCTGTTCCGGCGGATTTGGAAGAATTGATGTCCCTATGCATCCGGATAGATGGATCCATGGCCAATCAACGTCACATCATTGCTGGGCCTCGGCCAGTGGGCCGAAAGGGGGCCGATGCGGGAGTGCCACGTCGCTTGGGTCCGCCGCCACCTCGTGAGCCCGATGCAGAGGAACCCATGCAGCTGGGCTCCATGCGCCCCAAAATTGATGCGGCGGAAAAGGCGCGAAGGCAACGGCTAAACCTGTGTTGGTATTGTGGGGGCAGCGGGCATTTCTCTCGGGAGTGTCCAGTAAAGAAGAAGACAAGTCCCCGCCTGGCAGGGGTCTCCGGCTCAGTGGAGCCCGTGGCGCCCCAAGCCCAGGGATCCGGTGAACAATGGACCGAGCAGCCGGCGGGGGAAGGCAACGACCGAGTTTAGATGGGCTCGCAAACTCGGTCTCCACCCCGTTTCCAGAGCCCGCAACTGGGATGCTGTTTTTTCTCTTGGTTTCGTTTTGTGTGGCCCAAAAGACTCCCACGTCGGTGCACGCACTGGTCGACTGTGGGGCCACTAACAACTTCATGGACAGTCGGTTCGTGGAGCTCCTTGGATTACAATGTTTAGACCTCCAGCCTCCCCGGGATGTACAAAACTTTGATGGGCGTTTGCTGAAAGCCGGGCCGGTGGCTCGCTATACAGCGCCCGTGCTGATGAGAGTCGGGGACCATGTGGAAGAGGTCTCCTTTTTGGTCACGGAGCTTCCACACGCCGTGGTGTTGGGAATCCCATGGCTGGCCAAGCACAGGTGCTGCTTACTGCTGCTTGGAAGCCGCTGCAGGAAGAGCTTTGCTTCGTCAACATATGGACAACACAGGAGAAGATCACCCACTCAACAAGCTCAGGGTGAAAATAGAGCCAGGTCTGTATTGATCAGAGCAAGGCAGAATAGAGGAGTAGCATGACTTCCCTGGATATAGACACTAGACTTCTATTTATACAAGCCAAAGTCCCATTGGCTTTTTAAGCTGCCACATCACATTGCTTGCTCATGTTTAACTTGTCCACGAGAACTCCAAGATCTTTTTCACATGTACTGCTGTTGAGCCAGGTATTGCCCTCCATTCTGGATTGTTGCATTTCATTTTTCCTTCCTAAGTGGAGTATCTTGCATTTGTCCCTGTTCATGTTGAACTACTACATCTGTGTGAGCTTACTTGTTCAGAGTTCGTGCTAGTGTACTCTTGTAGATGTAAATGACCTAATTGTGTTTGTATCTAGATTTTCTGGTAAGTTGCTAACTCTGTCTGCAACCCAAGAAAAACATTTGCAAAGCTGACAAATGAGAAAGAAATGGTCAACTCTTGGCATCTTAGGGTTGTGTATAGTAGAACAATTTCATTGGTTGCTGTCATCTTCTAGGTTGATTATTTTAACCTTTAAATTTGTAATTGGCTTGAGGACTGTGTATCTTATTGTGAAGCTTATCTATCTGTAAAAATCTTCTATAGAAACCCTCTTGATTACGTGCTGAAGATCCCTTCTGACAAGCACATGGAATAAGTCTTTCTTCTTTCCTAATGGAAAAGGAGGGTCACAATGTAATAAACAAAAGAAACAAATAATAACAATCACTTGCAATGGTGCTTCTGCTGTAAATTTCTATAAATATTTCATCTTGCCAGGTGTTGATCCCGAAGACACATATAATGAAACACCCTACGAAAAGGGCTACTGTTTTGTCTCCTACCTTGCCCACCTTGTGGGAGACCAGAGCAAGTTTGATGGCTTCTTACAGGTCTGTATGTTAGTCTTGAATTTGTCTGTAATTCCTAGGAATCCCTGGGAAGCTCTCTCTCTCCTTATTGTATGATTTGCAATAGATATTTCATTGCCCCCCTGCTTGTACATTTTGGATCACCTTATTTCAGAAAGCTATGGTAACTCTTAGGAAGGGCAGTCAGAAAATCATGGGATTGGATAAACTCCCTATGAAGAAACATTATGACATTAGCTGGGGGAGAAATGGAGTTGAGTTGGGAAGAATATGAAGGCAATATAAAATTATGCACAAGGTGGCAAAATGGCTATAGAGGCATTATCCCCTGTTCCTAATATTAGAAGCTGAGATCATATGGCAAAAATGAATGGCGGAAATTGTAAACAGATAAAAAGAAAATATCTTTTCATATAATCCTTAATTTAGTGTGCAGTGTATACTTAAGGTATGTAATGCACTGCTGTGAAATGTACTTATGGCTGCTTTAAAACCAGGATTAGAAACGGTATATCTCTGAATGCTGGTCGGTAGGAAAGTATTACTGTGGTCATGTTCTGCTTGTGGCTAGTTTCAAATGTCTGGCTGACTACTATTTAAACAAAATGAGGACTTTGGTCTGATCCAGCAGGGCATTTCTGTTCTTTCATGACCACTGAAAGTGGATAATGTGATTTCTCCTCTTTGTCCCACCTCTGTCTCAAGCGTGGTTGGTGGGGACGAGGGAGAGGGCCTTCTCGGTAGTGGCCCCTTGGCTTTGGAACTCCCTCCCCAAATAAATTAGGCTAGCCGCCACATTCCAATGTTTTTGTAAAAACTTGAAAACATGGCTTTCCAAGCAGGCCTTCAAACAGGGTTAACATTCTTTCATACCTGAAGACCAACTGCTTTGTTTGACTCTGGCACTTAATGTGACTGAAATTGTTGTGATAATTTTATCTGCAGTAATTTTTGCATTTTACTGAGTTGTTTAATTAAAAGGGGTTTATGCTGTTTTTAAGTACATCTGTTTTATGTTATTGACATTGTTATTGTTGTTGTATTACTGTATTGGTGTTATGTGTTTTATTGTATTGTATACTCCAGTGCACTAACACGTGCTTGTAAGCTGCCCCAAGTCCCTTTTGGGAGCTGGTGGCAGGATATAAATAAAGCTATTATTATTATTATTATTATTATTATTATTATTTCTAGAACGTTTTTTGCAACTTTCCATTCAGGAAAAGATGCATTTGCAAAACAGGCCAGTTTAAAAAAAGAGCAGAATCTATGCTTCTGGCAAAATAATCCTTGACATTGGGTTTTAATTGTTTTTTATTTATTCTTCCATTCATTCGTTTAATTTGGATCCCACCTTTTTCCCAACATGAAAATGCTTTGCGTATAAACAAAATTTAATCTAACATGACATCTGACATATTGAATTTATCAAAGGAAGGTAGATTGTAAAGACCTAGGGGTCCTCCAGGGGAGAGATGCAACCATTAGATGGAGATACAGTTGTTGTGGGATTTCCCAAGAATACCGGTCTTGAAGAAGCAGTCAACAAATAGAACAAATGAGGACTTGTCCTTCAAACAAATTAAGTTTTACCTAACCAGAAACAAAAGGAATTGTCATCGCAAGCTCAAAAATATTTCTGTTCTTGAAAAAGGCCATAGTTGCCTTTTTAAACTAGTCAATTAGCCCAGTAGTTAAAATCTGGGATGTCATAACTCTGATACATCAAATGAATCCAATTTTGTTCTGAGGGCAAAGAATCACCCTAATTTACTATTTAAACCAAATAGTTTGAAGATGGTGGATATAGATTGAACATGATTGTTGAAGTACCACGGGCGCATCATACAAACCACAGATTAATTCAGTGTGGTCTCTTTCTGTGACAGGCTTATGTGAACCAGTTCAAGTTTCAGAGCATCACAGCTGATGACGCTCTGGAGTTCTACCTCAACTATTTCCCAGAACTAAAGAAGCAAGGAGTGGATGTCATTCCAGGTCAGGAGTGTTTCATATTTGAAGATTTCCTCCATAGTTTTCATATGCAGAGTTCAACTTCTTTGTGAAACTTGAAGCTGTATGAATACTTAGCAGACATAGCTTCCAAAGTTCTCGTGTGACCTTTAGGAGATGCTAACTTCAGCTGATTGAAACACCTCTTCATGTAACTTCACATAACTTCTCCAGGTCATTAGCCAAGCACAATCACTATGCCATGCTATAGTTGCAACTGTAGAAGTATTATTTTGAGTTGGTATTAAGTCTTTGATGTCAGGGTAGGTTATTGTTTCCCAATGTGAAATTGTAGTCCAGAGAGCTAGGCCGGCATTATACGGTGACGTGAAATGCAAACTGGGCTTTTGTGACTCCATTGTTAGTCTCTTTTGCTGACATAAATAGGTAAATTCACATTATTTCTCTTTCTGATTACAGAAAAGATTGTTATGTTGGTATCTTGAACTGTAGTATAAAAACAATTGCATATGCTTTATAACTGAGTGTTTTTTTTATTAAGCTATCAAGTTGTGCTACAGGTTCTTTCCTTCCCATCTTGTTCTTGTTGTAGGTCTTGAGTTTGATCGGTGGCTGAATACACCTGGCTGGCCCCCTTATCTTCCTGATCTTTCACCTGGGGAGGAGCTGATGAAGCCAGCTGAGAAACTGGCGGACCTTTGGGCATCTCCTGACCATGACATGAAGGCAATTAAAGCAGTAGATATCTCTGCTTGGAGAACATACCAGCTAATCTTTTTTCTGGATAAGATCTTGCAGAAATCTCCTTTACCGGATGGTGAGACTCCCTTTGTTATGACAAGGGAACAAAGGACTGATCAGAGAAAGTGAAGGAAGTGTTATGCAAATTGGGATGCAAACTAGTATCTCCAGGAAATAGAGTTCAGAGAATGACATTTAGTAATTTAGCTTTGGGATTGGGACAGGGTGATATTTTTATTTATTTATTTACAGGGATTTTCATGCACCCCAGGAATAAAAGGTCTATAGCCATGCATCTGCGGTGACTAAAAAAAAACAAGCATGCAAAAATTTTGTGTAATCTTAAAATAGTGGTGTAAATGTATATATAAATGGGTCTGAAGGCCCTCACAGTACAATAAGATAAATGTATTAATTGACCCTAAGTATAGCCTGCCTTTCTCTAGCCCAAAGGAGACTCAAGTCAGCTTACATATAAGCAATTATTCAATGCCTTAAAACACATACAATTCCAATAACGTTTAAATTAAAATTAATACCTATTGAGCATTTAAAAACATTACATTCAATATTAAAAATCACATTATCCATAATTGTAGTCCAAAATGTTCCATAGTCATTCCACATATTCCATATCTGTTATTGCACTGCACTATTCTCTGAAAGCTTGATCCCAAAACCAAGTTTTCACTTTCTTTCTGAAGGCCAGAAGGGAGGGGGCTGATCTAATGTTACTGGGGAGTGAGTCCCCATAGCAAAGGAGCCACCACTGAGAAGGCCCTGTCTCATTTTCACTGGTTGCGCTTGCGAGAAATGCGGGATGGAGAGCAGGGCCTCCCCAGATGATGTTAATCTGCGAGGTGGTTCATAGGGGGAGATATGTTAGGACAGGTAAGCTGGGCTGGAACTGTTTAGGGCTTTATAGGCTAAAGCATTTTTTTTGAATTGTGCTCGGTAGCAAACTGGCAGCCAGCGGATCTGGCACAACAGAAGGGATGTCCTTGCTCTGTATGCCGCTCTGGTAATCAACCTGGCTGCTGACAGTTCGACCAATTGAAGCTTCCAAGCAGGCTTCAAAAGCAACACCCTGTAGAGCGCGTTGCAGTAGTCAATACCGGATGTGGCAGCAGCATTGACCACACCATGACCTAAGCCATAGCTCAGGATACACACTGACTATTTAGAAGGAGTAATAGCAAGATAATGTGACTCCCTAGTTTTATTTATTTATTTACTAATTTACAAAATTTATATGCTGCCCTTCTCACCCCGAAGGGGACTCAGAGCGGCTTACAAGTAATATGTAAATACAATATATTATATTATTACCATAGTACAATATTAGTATTATATATTACTATATTGTACTATACCATTATACTGTAATATTATTAGTAACATTACATGTAATATAAAATATATAATTATAATATATTATTATTAGTATTATATTGTATTACATTATATTATTATCAATATTATATGTATATACTAGGGCTGGGCGGTTTCGTTTCGTTAATTCATAATTCGTTAATTTTTTCAATTACAAAACGATAACGAACCATTCTGGAGCAATTATTAAAAAAAAGAATTTTCAAAAACGTTTTGTAAATGCTTCGTATTTCGATATTGTATTCGTTTCGTTATTGTTTTGAGGTCGTTTCGTTATTATTTCCGCATGTCTGGGCCAGTTTTATGGTTTAATTAGTGAAAAAAAATTATAATATCACACCAACAGTCAACAACAGAGGGAGAGGGAAGCTTCAGAAGGTTTTGGAGGTTTTTTAGCGTATTTCGCGGTCGCGTCCATTAACGAATCGATTCGTTATTGTTTCGGAAATCGATTCGTTAATTTTTTACCATTTACGAAATTTCGTAAATATCGAACTTTTTAAAAGGAAAATTTTGTAATTATTTAAAATATCGAAACAAAAAACCCAAATACAAATCGATTTTAGAAACAAATTTTTCCGTTGTTACCCAGGCCTATTATATAAAGATATATTGTTTTATATTATTAGCACAGTGCAGGAAACAAGATGGAACTGTCTTCCTGGTCCCCTTTCTTCTCTCTGGTCCCAGAGCAGCAGTTGGTGCTGGGGGAAGGGGCTCCCAACTGATGACACTGGAGACAAGATGGAACTTTAAACATGTTTAATATGTATCTCCCCCATATGTTGTGAAATGACCATAACAATTCCTTCCTAATAAGGGAACATTGAGAAGATGAGTAGCTTTTACCCCAAAATCTCCAAAGCTGAAAATGCAGAGCTGCGTCTTCGTTGGTGCCAGATCCTTCTCAAGAATAATCATGAGGCTGAGTTCAGCAAAGTGAAAGACTTTCTTCAGAGCCAGGTTTGTGACTGGGTTGTTTCTATATTGATGATACTTAAGCCTGTTAATCTCCCATCATTTTCCTATTGAACTGAGAACTATCTTGGGCCAAAGGCCAATCTGATACTCTAGTGTTCTTACCAACCAGATCCTTGTGAGAATCCCACAAACAGCATTGTGCGACAGCATTCCCTGCTTATGCTAACAAACAACTGAGTACATACTGCCTCTGGGTACTGGAGGTGATATATTGTTATCATGACTTGCCACCTTATTAATAGCAGCCCCCGGTAGCACAGTGGGTTAAAGCCTTGTGCCAGCAGGACTGAAAGACTGACAGGTTGCAGGTTCGAATCCGGGGACTGCTCCAGCTCCCCATTGCAGGACATGAGAGATGTTTCCCACAAGGATGATAAAACATCAAAACATCTGGGCGTTCCCTGGGCAACGTCCTTCTCTCACACCAGAAGCAACTTGCAGTTTCTCAAATTGCTCCTGACACAAAAAAATAAACCTTATTAATAGCCCCCTCCTCTATGAAGTTCTCCAATCTGCCCATCCTCCAAGATACTGAAAAACATATAATGATACTGTCATTGTTTGGAGCTAGAAAAGGGCATACCTGGGAATGTGCCTGGGCTATCTTATAATAATCTTGGGGAGAAATTACCTGACCATCTTCTAGGTATATTGTGAGGTGCTACATGCTTCTTAGTGAGTCCTTTTGTGCTTTGTTTCAGGGAAAGCAGAAGTACACCCTTCCCATATACCGAGCCATGATGAATGGTTCAGAGACTGCCCGAGCCCTGGCTGTGGAAGTATTCTCTGCTACAGCACCACAACTCCATGTGAACGTCCAGAATTATGTCAAAAAGATCTTGGGACTGAATACAAAAGGAAACTAGGAAGAAAAACACCAAGCCAAAGAAGTCTGTTGTTTGATATTCAGCAGATGTCTGTTTATGGTGGGTGGTGGAAAAGGAGAAACTAGCTATCAAATGCCATTTGAAGGGTTGATGGTGTAGGTAGGGGACAGGTCCCGCAGCCTCCGCAGTCTGCTCTTTTCCTCAGGAATTGAATTAAAATGCTGGGAATTTCTGGGCGCTTCCAGAAAGTGTTGCTTCTTCATGGATAACCTGATGGTTGGTTTTCTTTCTTTTTAAAAGATTTATAAAGATAAGCACAATGTTACATGCACAAAATGTCAAAGTAAATCCCCCTTTGTTGTTTTCAATAAAAGGAGTTACTGATTATTGCCAGAAATTATTGCATTTTATCAGCATTTCTTAGCCCTTGTGTATGCATGTGTGTGATATCATGATGTTATTATCATTCTCTTTCCTTATTCCCCCTCACTTGTAATTATTAGTCAAATACTTAGAGTGACTAATCTTTGCAGACATTATCATTAAGAGGCACCTCAATGGCTGGAGTAGATTTAATTGAGTAAAGGTTTTCCTACTCCCCTAACTAAAAGATCCACATCTGTTGGAGAGACGCCATACAAAAAGCTTACATGCTTAGAGCTACCACTGTTGACATTGGCACTGGCATTTGATGTTCAAAACAGGACAAATCCATTTGGAACAATTACATTGAAGTCTCCTCCATTTCTCTATGAAGCTGCCAGAACGGAACCTTCAGCAAGGCCAGTCTGAATCTGGCATAGTACATTCTCCTGCATTCTTCCTCCTTGCATTTGGGTTTAATTGGAATGGATTTTTTAAAAAATACTGAACTTAAGTAAAGGTTTCCCCTTAACATTAAGTCTACTTGTGTCCAACTCTGGGGGGTGGTTCTCATCTCCATTTCTAAGCTGAAGAGCCAACATTGTCTGTAGACACCTTTGAGGTCATGTGGCCAGCATGACTGCATGGAGCACAGTTATCTTCCCAAAGTACCTATTGATCTCACATTTGCATGTTTTCTAACTGCTAGGTAGGCAGAAGCTAGGGTTAACTGCAGGAGCTTGCCCCATTCTCCTTATTCGAACTGCCAACCTTTCAGTCAGCAAGTTCAGCAGCTCAATGGTTTAACCTGCTGCACCACTAGGGGGCCCATGCTGAACTTAGTAGCCTAGAAAAGAGTTCCCAATTGTGGGGTGAGGTGGGACACATTTAGAAGTAACTGTCTTATCATTTTTGTTCTTCTCCCATCATATTTGGGGAGGAGATGCCATTAATAAAAAATTCTTTAAATTTAAATCCAAAAGTTTGCATATAAGTTATAGGAAGATATACAGCATTATTTTTATATAGGAAAAAATTATTCACCTTTTTGAGAACAATAGAAAACCATTTATTACAATAAAGGGTAAATAATTGGGCAATAAAATAAAATGGGAAGATGCACATAAAGAATAAAGTGATTGTTATTATTATTATGCTTATTTATATCCCACTTTTTCTCTCCATAAGGAGACTCAAAGCGGCTAACATTAAAAGCAGTACAATACAATTTAAAATATACAAATATTGAAATAGTATTAAACATATTAGTATTAAAAACAATTCAATTAACTCCATAAAAAAAAAAAACCATAACAGCCCCTGACATGATCTTGAAATCCTGCTTTAAAATCCTGCCTGAAGGTTTTAGCTTGTTGCTGGAAGGACAGCAGGAAGGGAGCCACTCTGGCTTCCCTGGGCAGGGAGTCCAGAGTTAAGAGGCAGCCATCATTCTTGCCAACCAAACTTGAGATGGAGATGGGACCAGGACACATTAGGCCCATTGAATCAAGGGGATTTTGCATCAGTGTAGGTTTAAACCAGTCATATTGATTCAATGGGTTACTCCTAATCTCAATGAGGTGAGAGGGAAAGGAAGATAAATTACAAGGGTCTGGAGAACAAGACCTATGAGGCATGGCTTAAAGAGCTGGGCATGTTTAGCCTGAAGGAGAGAAGGCTGTATAATGTATAAACATGTGAGAGGAAGTCATAGGGAGGGGGGAGCAAACTTGTTTTCTGTTGCCCTGGAGACTAGGATGCGGAACAATGGCTTCAAACTACAAGAAAGGAGATTCTATCTGAACATTTGGAAGAACTCTCTGCCCCAGAGTGTGGTAGAGGCTCCTTCTTTGGAAGCTTTTAAACAGAGGCTGGATAGCCATCTGTTGGGGGTGCTTTGAATGCAATTTTGCTGCTTCTTGGACTGGATGCCCCATGAGGTCTCCTCCAACTCTATGATTCTATGATTCTACAAACAGATTGAGCTATAGTATTCTATAGGCTTAAATACTCTGAGCGTACCAGATACTGTCTGATCTTGCCAGTTAATCAGAGTTGTCTTGGCTAGTACTTGGATGGGAGAGCGGCAATGAATACCAGGTGCTGTAGGGTGTTACTGGAGAAGGAACTGGCAAAACTGTGAATATTCCTTACCAAGGAAAAACCCTAGTACAGTCAACAGAGTGCTTGAAACAAACCTACCAACTGTCCTAGTCTGGTAGGGACAGACCCCATTAATAGTGTGCCATACCACATTCTTGGCTGCTTTTAAAATGCCCTGGGGTTTTTGAGTCAGTGCATGAGAAACCAAAGTTTGCTTGGACATTGGGAATTTTCTATTCTCCAACTGTCCCAATTTGGCAATGATAGTTCCAATTAACCCTCTACTGTCCTATTTTCTCAGCTCATCTTAAAGTATCCTTGTTTCACTCTTCCCACTCTTCTCCTTTGCCCTCATCTTACTTAAATTGCTACAAATAGATTTCAAATTGTGCCAGAAAGGAATGATATCTTGCATTTCAGATTTTTCTTTTTAAAAGTTTTGTTTTTCTGCCTTATTAATAAACGTTGACATTTTTCTATCACAAGGCAAACTTTCCATGTTGTTTTGATGATGTTTGGCTATGTGTTTCTTAGTTTTCTCTATTAAATATTTTAGGGTTATGCTAAAGGCACATATGTGCAGACAGCCTTTTACTCCCGAATGTAATATTTTATAAAATAAATAGAATGTCAAACACTGCATGGAGCATTAAACACCTTCCTGCCACCAATAATATTTTAGCAAAGGTCAACCTTCACATTGGATCTTGTTATTCTCTTGATTGTTTTGCGTGTAAAACCTGCATTTTTAGTAGCAGAGGAATTTGAAAAATAATTCCTTTTTTCTTTTTCTTTTTTCAGTAAAGGCAATTATAGACTCTCGCCGAACAGTTCATAACGAAGCCTTTTAACAGAGCTAGTATCTCTTCTGCCACAGCTTCCACCCCCATTCTGCTACTAGCTGCTGACCGCATGTTGGGTGGGTCGTTTGCCTTTTGTGGTTTTCCTCTTTTCTTTGCAATTCTCTCTTGGTTGCTATTGCATCTCTCTGATGTGAGACAGGAAGATACCTCCCTAGTGTAATTAAGCAGGGCTTAAGCTATCCCCCCTGAGCAGTTGTTGCTTTTTGGGGACGCTCTGGAGTGTGTTCACTGGCAGCAGATCAGGCGTCATCAGTTTGCTGAAGCTAGGCAAAATGGAAGCCAAGAGAGACATCTGCACAGAAGTAAATGGACTCCTAGGTAAGAAAAGAGAAATGGATTCCAGCAGACCTCAGCCAAAGTCTGGTTGATGGGCCTTCAAATTATGTGAGTGCAATTGATCAATATTTGTATGGGGTCTGTTAAACTGCAGCAGAGCCGAGGCTTGCAGAGTTAGAGCTCCAGAACTTTTTGATTCACAGGAAGTATGCCATCATCTGCCATTCTCCTCCCCCACACACCCCGCCCCAACCTTGGACACTTTTGTTCTCTTTGAATGTATTTATTTATTTGCGGTATTTTTATACTGCCCTTCTGAACCCCAAAGGGTACTCAGGGCAGTTCACAATGTTGGCAATAATTCAGGACCAACTTAATTGAATGTACACAGTAATAATGTTACTATTGTGAGTTATCCCTGTTATAATTCAAAGTATTTTATGATACCATGGTCCTGCGTGGGTAATACCTATTATTTTCACAAAATGCCTAGTCTAGGTAGGAATGAAATCCGATAGAAAAACCATACATTTTTTATTATGCTTGTAAGTATTAGTCCAGAGTGTCTGTTTTTTATTTCATATCAAAAGCATTGCATAAATTAGTATAAAACTGATAAAAATAGAACACAGGTGGCTAAATATCTTTTGACCAAAAACGGGCAACAGCAATGGCATTGTCTGTAGCCTCCAACAATTCTTCCTCTGTACATGAGGCAGGACATAGTGGACAAGCATACAGATGCGGAGTTGTCTGTTCTGCTCCACAGTCACACAAGGTGGGGGATTCTTTTAGGTAGTGCCATTTTGCCAGGTTGTCTTTTGATCTGCCCACTCCACTTCTGTTCAGACTTCCAAGTTGCCCATTCTTGATTTGCCCCTGGAAAAGATCTTTGTGGGGGGGGGGGGGAGCATAAAATTGAGATTTCCTGGTTTACCTGCCCCTGCCCCTGCTGTTGCTGGGGAGATGTTAAGAGGAGTGGTGGTTCTCATGAAGCTTTTCCTTGATTTTAGTCTACTGGGAGGAGGCTGATAGCCATATCCTGAGCTTTAAATTTTACTACTGCACTACCATGTAGCAACCATATGAATGTATGGCTTTGACACAGAGCCACAAGAGATGCTGGCATTGCTTATTCTTTTAGTGAGTAGTCCTCTCTGAGTAGGTGTTGATTTCAATACTACTTCTTGACATTGATGTCCCATATTATGTGGCACTTGTCTACTTCTGTCACATCTAGTAATGGCCAAAAAAGGAGATTAGGGCTATGCGATTGTGTTCGCACATAGTGTTTGGTTTTCTAGTTATATCTCTGCTGCACAGCAGATGGCAGCAGTTGACTCAAGATTCATACTGATGTGATGAAACTGCTTTCTTTCTCTGTTGTCCTGGTTAGCACTTGGACAGAAGGCTACCAATGAAAACCATGTCCTGTAGGCTATATTTCAAAGGAAAGGAACTGGGAAAACCACCTTTGAATATTCCTTGCCTAAGAACACACTATGAAATTCATAACGCAGACATAAATGAAGAGGAAACTGGAAGGCACATACACATAGAAGAAGATAACCAGCTCTTCTGGCTATTGCTTCCTAATGACTTGACAACTGGTAGTAGCTATGCTTGGGTGACGGGAGGCAGAGGGATGTCACAAAGCCATAGTAACAAAGCATATCTAAACTCCTTTTTATAGTAGTAGTAGTAGTAATAATAATAATAATAATAATAATAATAATAGAATCTTCAGGATCAATATGGAGTTCGGCCTAGACAAATGTGCCACAGTGGCATT